GACAAACAGATATATAAGACAAAAAGTGAAAACAAATAGCTATGAATCAATGCTTCGTTTCGCAGCTATACTAATATCTCATTATATGACTATATGATTTTTATTACTAATTCACATCCACTACCTATTTTTAGTTAAACAAATTAATATACCAAATTATTGTTCGATCAAAGTCAAAATAATCTCACCCCGCGCAGGGCGCGGGTCAACACCTAGTTTATCTTAATCAAGAAGAGCTAACGCACAAGTGTCCTGTGAACTTCTCTTCTTTCTTCTTCTGATTGTTGGCACCAGATTATGCTGCATTCAACTATTCAAGCCAAGTAGCCAACCCAATCCAACGTACTATACCAAAATCTATCTTTTCATTCTAAATTTGTATAATGACTGATGACTAGTATAATATTAGTAAGGTGAAAAATCTGAGAACGAATCTGCGTGCGGACAGAGTTTGGATTCAAGAACAAGACACCAAGACGATGCAAAGACCTTCTTTAATATTCTCGATCGATCAGTTCGAGCAAGATTCTAATCCACACCAAAAGAACACTTGGATTAACACCCATGGTAATATTTCTTTTTACCAGCTTGTCAATGGCTTCGCCTTTTCGCCTTTCTTCCTTCTAAGTAGTGGATAACACCGAGAACGATGGCCAAATTACCCAAAGCATCGATCCATCCCTATATCTGAACAGGCCACCTACTTTGTGTTGAAAAATTAACGATCAAAGGGAATTTAGCTATTTTATGGGCCCAATCCCAAATTGGAATCCAAAATGTTTTGTTTCTTTTGGTTCAAGAACAGCAAAAAGAGATCACATGTTACTCTTATAATCAAAAGAGCTCAAGAAAGGATCGTTAGTTTTTAGTACCACATATGATACTCCTCTAAACTAGTTCGACTAAATGATCAAATATTTGGAAGTTATAAGCTTTTCCATAGACTGCTGATGGAGAGAGGCCAATGATCATTGGATTACTCACCCAATTTTGGAGTTTGGCTGATATATTTAGAAAACGTCCTTAACAAGAAAACAGAGAAAGACGTTGAATTATGAAACTAACCCTGGTCAGTTCCCTTCTATATCTCTCCACTAGGCAGGCCTGTATTAGTAATTACAGATAGATCCCCAAAAGCGCGCTCTTTATTTTGTCCAATCCCTTTTTCTCTCTGCTCGACACAGGTTGCTTGGGTTTTTCTTTGCGAGAAACAAGTTCCGTTTCTTGAGATCTCATGTTAGACCCAGCCAATGTCGTTTCTTTTTCCTTCTTCTCTCTCCTCCCTCCTCTGTTTTTTTGTATATATAAAGCTTTCCTTTGCCTAAAAACTCCCAAAAAGACTACATTTCTTCTCTCGATCTCTTTCTTTCTCTTGCACGAAAGAGAGAGAGAGAGAGAGAGAGAGAGAGAGAGAGATAACAAAACCAAAACTGAGAAAAAAAAACAAACAAGAAGAAAAAGACTCCCATCTATATCTGTTATTTTCAAAAGAACAAAATGTTGGAGGGTCTTTTTAAACCCAAGTTCTATACGAAATGGTGAGTTCTATTATTTTCTTGCTTTCGATTGGTACTCTTGTGTTTTTGTAATTTTGTTGAACGCATTTGAGTTTTACCAGCAAATCGTTGGTCAAGATAACCAGAACACGAGTGGAGACGGTGAAGAGGAAGAAAAACTCTGTTTGCAAATATCTGAACAAGGACATTGTCGATCTTCTCAACAACAGCCTCGATTACAATGCTTATGGCAGGGTAATATTTTCTTCGTGGATCAACAAGTAATATTCCGAATTCAGTTTTAATATGGGTCGCCTCCGAACTTGAAATCATGGAACACCTTCACAAATACCCTCTCTTTTTTTTTTTTTTTTTGGTTAATGCTGTCAACAGCTGGCTAAAACAGAGTGACTTGTTTCTTAAGAAATCCAGCTGAAAAACATTTGCTTTTTTTGTCATGCGCAATAAATTCGTGGCTTCTCTTTGTCTTTTAAGTTCTGTGACATGGAGAAGTGATCTCATACTAGCGTGTGTGGCAGGCACAAGGGCTTATTGAGGAGAAACGGAGGCTGTCGTGTTATGAGTTGTTGGAGCAATTCTGCGTCTGTGTTGCATCCAATGTATCTCTCTTACAGAATTCCAGGTAAAAGCACACCTATTTTTGCCTTTCCTTTGTGATTCATAAATCATCCTTGTAAGAAAAAGAAGAGTATTGGTGGTACAGTAAATGCCCTGAGGAGTGTCGCGAGGCCATTTCCTCCCTTGTGTATGCGGCCGCTAGAGTCTCTGAAGTGCCTGAGCTTCGCGATCTCAGGTCTCTGTTTGCTGACAGATACGGGACTAGTTCACTTGAAAAGTTTGTGAATCCTGAGGTATATTTCTTTACTAAGCAGCTCTCCTGTCGATAAATAATAATAAGATAAACCAGCACTAGTTAATTTGTACGTTGCTAACGGACGCAGCTTGTGGAGATGTTCAAAGCGGAGGCACCATCAAAGGAAATGAAGGTAGAGCTGCTCCAAGAGATAGCCAGAGAATACTCTATCAAATGGGACGCCAAGTCTTTAGAGCAGAGACTCCACACACCACCACCACTTAGTAATCATCATGCTGAAAACCCAAAAACAAAGGCCAATAATCCTGGAAAAATGAATGAAAACAGAAGTAGCAGCCTTTCGTTTCATGTGAGAGAAGAGTCTTTGGATGAAAACTCCATAAGTAAAAGAAACGAAAATAGTGTCTCTGGTACTCAGGAGGAGGATTATGAAGGCAAACCTTTCTACAACAGATTCATCATGACTTACAGTAACAAACCCAAAATGGAGAAACAGGAAAGCCTTCCGGAGAAGATGACCAAGTCTTATCTCATGCATGGTGAGTATTGCAAGCAAGCAAGCCGTAATGATAGGTGATAGTAATAATAAATAATAATATTAATGTTATTGTTGTTGTTGTTATTTAAAAGAAGAAACAGATTCGCCGGGAAGACCAAAGGCGAGATCAGTGAGAAGACGATTCGCGAACCCGCCTCCAGATGCGTCTGGTGAAGATTTGGTGACTAGTAGTAACATGAAGAAGATGGAGAATGAAAGCGGAGCGGGCGGGGTAAGGAGAATGAGTCGTCGAACAGCGTCGTGGCAGCCCAACGTACTCCCAGATTTTGATGAGGTCGCCGCTCGCGTTGATGCTCTCACACGAAACTAATCTTCAGTTATCATTTGTGATGCCTCGTGGCATTGTTATTAGAGTTTGTATGTGGAACATGTCTTGTCTGTGAATGATTTCTTTGTAACCCGAAAGTGATGAATGATGCAAAAAAAAACTTTAGCTTTTTTATTATTTTGCTGTTTTTTTTTTATTTTGAATAAAAAATATCCCCACCCCACCGCACGAAGAACCCTAAAAAGATGGACGAAATTCCAATTTCTTTCTCATTCACCACAATCATCATCTGATCTATTAAAAGAAGAGAATGGAGGATTCAGAGATTCATGTGATGAGCGAGATTCATCTCGGTTGCCCACCCGCCACTATGGGGCCCTTTCTATCCCGCTTCAACTTCTATTTTCCCTCGGATCATTCAATTGGTGTTGATAAAGATGGTGACCTTGTTCTTCCTAGGCGTAATCCTTTCCATCTCACTTCGTTTACTGTCACCATTCAGCATTGCGTCACATCTACCCTCCCTCATGTTGGTCTCCAGGCGAGTTCATCTCATCATCTCTTCTTTACTCTTTTCTTGTGCACCTCACTCTCTCACTCACTCCCTCGCCAGCTCTTCAGGTCTGGAAAGCACAACTCCTCTTATCAGATTTCGTGTTGCATAATATGTCTCTACTCAGTGATGTTGTGTGCCTGGAACTCGGTGCTGGAACAGGTTTTCTACTTACACCTTTCTACATATCTCTAAATTAAGATAAGATGATCCCGTTACATCTTTCTCTTCCTTTTCCAGGGCTGCTGGGTATTTTGCTTGCACGGGTGGCCAAGACTGTTTTCCTTACTGGTATATCTTTCTCTTCCTTCTTTCTCTCATATCTATAACCTAGTCTGACCCACCTTTGTACAACAGATCATGGAGACGAAATCCTTAGCAACTGTGTTCGGAACGTGGAAATGAATTCATCCCTGTTTCACCCTCAAGCTGTGGTAAATGTTCGTGACCTAAACTGGATGAGCGATTGGCCTGTTGAAGATGATTCTAAACCGTAATCATTCACATCTTCATCCTATGACTTGTATATATATCACATATGTATCTTATGACTTGTTAGCTGTGCCTGTGTACTTCAGGTATCGTTGGAGTTTGCAGGACTTTGAACAAGTCAAAAGTGCGAGCTTCATTTTTGCAGCAGATGTGATCTACAGCGATGATCTAACCATAGCCTTGTTCAGCATGTTAAAGCGAGTCATGTCCTTGGGTTGTGACAAGGTACTAACTAACTAGTTGCATTGTTCATCTTAAAGGAAACCAACCACTTTACACATATATATATATATGTTAATTGGCAGGTACTATATCTGGGATTGGAGAAAAGGTACAACTTCAGCCTGGACGATCTCAACGTTGTTGCCAATGGCTACGCATGCTTCAGAAGACACATCAAAGAAGATGGACCTTGTAAGATGTGCTCCCTTTATGCTTCTTATAATGAATATTTAATGAAATGGTTCCAATTAACTGGGTATTAGAACAGGCGACAAGAGTTTTGTGGGCAAGCGCATCGACGTCAAACAGATCCCCCAGTACACCAAGGACTACGATAGAGGAGAAGACATTGAGCTTTGGGAGATCAAATATGTACGTTAATACTCTAAATACATTAGGACAAAGCTTATTTAGGATAAGCTTTTTCATTGTCCATCTTGGTAGTTTCCTCCGCTTGTTCTTTTGAGACGGGAACTTCAACTTCTTACTCTTCCAAAAGCTGCAACGAGGGGAGAGAAATATATATAAACATAAAATTGAAGGATCTACAAAGTTGATAAAGGGAAGGCACGGGCGGGATCTAAATGATCAAATATGTACTCAGTTATTTGAGAGAATGAGCCTTTTAAATAACTTCACCTAATGAACAACAATTGTGAGAAATGTCAACAAAAAGTTTCATTCGACGGATACAACTCCCATGCAGGTTCAGTAAGAATCCGAACGTAAACTGAAACCACCAGTCTGGATTCCAATCACCAAAAAGAAAGAAGCAGAGGATTTCCCAAAAACTAGAGTCACAATATCAAGCTTGCTAGCCATTGAGTGATACATACAAATAGATCAATCACATCTACAAACACAGAAGAGTGAGGGATAAAGAGGAATCAAACCTTCGCGAGTGGGTTTGTTTGTGGAGGCTTGTAAGCATGATTAACCCCAGTCTATCTAGGACACAACACCCGAGTTGAGGGATGAAAAACACACTCGAGAGAAGAGAAGTTAGGTTATAGGCCTTTTAAAATAAATAATGGGTTAGGTTTATGGGCCTTTTAAGCAAATTAATGGGTTTAGAATTAAGGTTAGGTTCAAAAGGTGGGAAAAAAAGAAAAAGCTAGAGATTATCGACTTCCTTCTTCTTCAGAGAAAATGCCGGTGTACTGTATAAGAGGAATCGATGTGGATTTTCCATTGGAGGCATACCCTTGTCAGATCATTTACATGGAAAGAGTTATGGAGTCTCTCCAAAACGTGGGTTGCCCTTTCCGCCTTGTCTACTGTTCCCCTGCCCTAGGGTTCCATTTTAGTGGCTTACGGAAAAAAGAATGGCTCACCTAATTAACTGTGTATTCTGCTGCAGAAATGTCACGCGCTTCTTGAGAGTCCAACTGGAACAGGGAAAACTCTTTGTCTTCTCTGTGCCACCTTAGCCTGGAGAAATAGCCTTGGCAACAACAGTGACTTTGATTCTCAAGGACGACTTCCTACCATAATTTATGCGTCTCGGACTCATAGTCAGCTCCGTCAAGTCATTAAACAACTTAAAATATGCAGTTACAGGTCAGTAATCCACGTCATCAATTGGCATTTTCTACTTTTATAATCATCATCTTTTCTAATCTTTCTCAATTATATTTTTTTAAGGCCTAAGATGCTGGTGCTTGGATCACGTGACCAGTTATGCGTTAATGAGCAAGTTAATTCTCTCCGAGGAAACGCACTCACTAATGCTTGTCACCACCTTTGCAAAAAGCGCCAATGTAACCATTTCAATCGGCTTCCAGGTACTCCTCCTACTACTACCACACCGCTCTATCTTTACTTGCCTCCTCCTAGCTTCAAACAACTATTTAAATCCATTTTGTAGATTATTTGCAGAATAACCCTGATATTGGTCATGAACCAGTTGACATTGAGGATTTGGTCAATATTGGAAAAGTTTCTGGACCGTAAGTACCTCTCTTTTCTACTTCAACATATTTGTTTCTCCTTGTTCAGATGTTGTCATATCATGTTTCTGTATTCTGCAGATGCCCATACTACCTCACAAGAGAGGTTCACAAGGACGTGGACATCTTATTTACACCTTACAACTACTTGATCAGCAATTCGTATAGAAACTATTTGAAGGTCAACTGGAATAGTAGCGTATTGATTTTTGATGAAGCTCACAATCTAGTAAGGGAAATATAGATCTTCTTCTGTGGTCACCTTGAACTCTCCGGGTGTTATTCTACTCTCTGTTCCTCAGTTATATGTAAAATATGCGCAGGAAGGTTTATGCGCAAACTCAGCTTCATTTGACCTTCCTTCTGTGCTTTTATCGGCTTGCATTTCTGAGGCACAAGAATGTGTAGAACTTGCGTCAGCAAGAAGGGGTTCATTAGATGACGAGTCCACCAACCCTGAGAATTTTGTCATACTTAAAGGTTAAACGTGGGGCTTTGACCGTCCGTGAGTACAATTATACTGGAATGAGATTGACATGTTTGACCTCATCTGTGCGTTCTTTTCTCTTGCAGGACTTCTTCTAAAGCTGCAGGAACTGATTTCTGAAGTCCCAATTCCGAAAAAGGATGAGGGATTTACCAAGCCTGGGCCGTACATATATGAAATGCTTAGAAGCCTTAACATCACTCACGAAACTGCTCCTAAACTTATTGGTACAGTCGAGGACGCTGCAGTGCTCCTGGATGAGGAGAAACAACGAACATCGACCAATGCTGGAAGCAAATTAGGAATCATTGTTGACATGCTTAAGCTGATATTTAGGGAAAATGGAAGTAACCATGCAGATGTTTATCGTGTAAGCTTTTAGCAAACTTCTTTGTATTCCATTTTGGGTTTTATAAGCTCTCTCTTGTACTATTTCATTTACAGAAACTCCCCCACATGTACTCATATCTTTTACTTTCATTATTTGTTAGGTTCATGTACAGGAGCTTGAACAGAATTCTACTGATGTCATAAAAGGTAAACAATAATAGATTTCAAAACAAAATGATGTTGTTTCCCCAAAGCATTAACAGACGCACCATTTTAGTAAATCGAAAGAATAATAACCATTTGGTTATCTGCTTTCCCTATGGAGACAATGTTGTTTTTTTTTACAAATCCATCAGACAATCACAACCTCGTACCAAAAATATATTTTGTAGGCAAGGTCTCAAGAACGCTTAGCTGGTGGTGTTTCAATCCTGGGATTACCATGCAGGAGATAGCAAAAAAAGGTGTTGGGTCTATCATTTTAACATCGGGAACCTTGTCTCCCATGAAATCATTGGCCCGAGAACTAAACTTGTGAGTATATCGCTATGGTTTTCTCTCACTTTCCTTCTCTCTATCTGCTTTTTCTATTAACAGGACCAAGACCCAGGCCCAGCAAAACACAAAGTCAAATGAAAAGCCCACTTGTGTTTCCCCTGCAACAAGACAACTTCATTCAACGGTAACAAGAACAAAAAGCAGAAGAGAGGAAGAGGACAAACGGGTCAAACATCCAGCTCACACAGTCCTGCTCTCTAACCGTTTTGATGCGATTAAGGATGAGAATGCCTGAGCTGTCAGAGCCACATCATCACCTTCTGGATTCTTCTCCTCTTTGTATAAATATGAGGCATTACGCCATTGTAAACTTTGAGAAGAAATAAGAGTATTATTCAGATTTACAAAGTTCATCTCTTTCATCTTTACATCCTTATCTGATTAACCTTTATGGTATCAGAGCCCAGGAAGTAGATCATGGATGGAGATCATGACACGCTCACGGTTGCTCCGCTCACCATTACACATGTGGTTACCTTGAAGCTCAAGGAAGGAAACTACTTGCTATGGAAGCTCCAGTTTGAACAGTTTCTCTCAAGCCAACTTCTTTTGGGTCACGTCACCGGAGCCTTACCACGCCCTCCGCCGACTATCTCTGTTCGAAACGGTGATGTTGTTGCAGAGGAACCAAATCCGGAGTTCAACAAATGGATTCAGAAAGATCAACTGATCCTTGCCTGGATGTACGGTTCTCTGACTGAAGAAGCGCTCAAGTCAGTTTACGGTCTACATACTTCACAGGATGTCTGGCTTGCTCTAGCAAAGAAATACAATCGAGTCTCTGCTACGAGAAAGTTAGATCTCCAAAGAAGAGTACAAACCACGGTCAAAGGTAACAAGACTATGTCTGCTTATCTCTCTGAAATGAAGTCTCTTTGCGATCAACTAGATTCCATAGGCTCTCCTATTAGTGAACAAGAGAAGATCTATGGTGTCCTCAACGGTTTAGGGAAAGAATATGAGTCTGTTAGCACTGTGATTGAACACTCCATGGATGCTTTCCCTGACACCTGTTTTGAAGATATCGTTCACAAGCTCACTGGTTTTGATGACAAGCTACAGACTTATGAGTCTCAGGCTTCTGTCACACCTCACCAAGCGTACTATACAAATCGTGGAGGTTACTCAGGACGAGGAAGAGGACAACATCGTGGAGGATATCGTGGCCGTGGTTCATACACAACCCAGGGCAGAGGTTTTCCACAACAGTTTGGTCAAGGAGCTCAACGCAACAACAACAATGGATCTCAGAGACCAACCTGTCAGATTTGCGGGAAGTATGGACATGCGGCTCATAAATGTTACAGAAGGTTTGATGAACACTTCGCTATGGACGTTCCTCCTCAAGCAAATGTTCTCTCAACAGCACCAGCTAACAGATCCTCTGGAGGAGAATGGTATCCAGACAGCGGTTCTTCACATCATGTTACAGACTCTGCAAACCGTCTGGACTCTGCTCAACAGTATGATGGATCTGATCAAGTTATGGTAGGCAATGGTGACCACCTGCCAATAACACATGTTGGCTCTGCTTCAATACCATCTGCAGCAGGTAACATACCTCTCCTTGATGTCCTTGTTTGTCCTGGAATCACTAAGTCTCTTTTATCTGTTTCAAAGTTAACCGATGACTTTCCTTGTGAGTTTACGTTTGATGCTACTGCTGTGTATGTTAAGGACAAGGTCACCCACAAGGTTCTCAGTAAGGGGGCCAAAACCAAGGGACTTTATCGTTTGGATGCTTCACCATTCTTAGCCTATTACTCCTCAAGACAGCAGCTTACGAGTGATAGGGTGTGGCACAAGAGATTGGGACATCCTAATGATCAAGTCTTGAAGCACCTATCTTCTATCAATGCTATCTCCTTCAATAAGACTTCTCAGTCACTCTGCGAGTCATGTCAATTAGGAAAGACATGTAAACTCCCTTTTTCTAGCTCAGAGTTCCGGTCTAATAGAATCCTTGAAAGAATTCACTGTGATGTTTGGGGTCCAGCACCTACTGTATCTGTTCAAGGGTTCAAGTATTATGTAGTGTTCATTGACAATTGTTCACGGTTTTGTTGGTTCTATCCACTTAAATACAAATCTGATGTCTCGTCTGTCTTCAAAGCCTTTCAACTACAAGTAGAGAATCAGTATAACCAGAAAATATCCATCTTTCAATCAGATGGTGGAGGAGAATTCGTGAACAAATGTCTCAAGGAACACTTCACCTCGTCCGGAATCAAGCACATTCTGTCTTGTCCTCATACACCAGAGCAAAATGGTCTTGCTGAGAGAAAACATCGACACATCACAGAGCTAGGACTGTCTATGATGTTTCAGAGTTCTGTTCCGTCTAGTCTTTGGGTTGAAGCGTTCTACACAGCCTCATTTCTGAGTAATCTGCTTCCTTCATCAGTAAACAACAAGATGGTGAGTCCTTTTGAGCTCTTAAACGGTACACCACCTGTGTATACAGCTTTACGAGTCTTTGGTAGTGCTTGCTATCCCTACCTTAGGCCATACGCTAACAACAAGTTTGATCCAAAGTCTCTTCTCTGTGTATTTGTTGGTTACAACGAGAAATACAAAGGATATCGTTGCTTTCATCCTCCTACAGGTCGTGTCTACATCAACAGGCATGTTTTATTTGATGAGGATAGGTTACCTTACACAGACACCTATCGTCATCTTCTACCAAATCCTGTTACACCTCTCACTTCGGCGTGGAGATTGCAGTCTGCACCAATCTTAACAGAGAATTCCTCTACTGAAGAACAGTCATCTCCTGAAGAAGTTGGTCCTGCTGTCAAAGTCACACTTTCTTTTCCTCCGTACCAACCAACTATGTCAAATTCTGTGGAGCAGAATTCTCAGTACTCGCCACAAATTCCTGAGCATACTACTTCTAGCACAAGTTCTGCAGCTCACAATGGTGACATTATTGTGGATCAACCCCCTCCTGTTGAAGCTCCTGTTAATACTCATAACATGACAACACGAGCCAAATCAGGAGTGATGAAGCCTAATCCAAGATATGCTCTAGTTACAGTAAAAGGTCTTCCTCAAATACCCAAAACTGTGACTGAAGCTCTGCAACATCCTGGTTGGAATGAGTCTATGGCAGAAGAGATAGGAACGTGTAAAGAAACGAACACTTGGAGTATAGTTCCTCGACCTCACAGTGCAAAGATTATTGGTTGTGGATGGGTGCATCGAGTTAAGTTAAATGCTGATGGTTCTTTTCAAAAGCTAAGATCAAGATTAGTTGCTAGAGGGAATGAGCAACAAGAAGGAGTAGACTTCTTGGAAACTTACAGTCCTGTGGTCAGGACAGCTACAGTTCGTATTGTCTTACATTTAGCTGTGATAAACAGATGGGATTTGAGACAACTTGATGTCAAGAATGCGTTTCTACACGGGGATTTATCTGAAACTGTCTACATGCGTCAACCTCCGGGTTTTGAAGACAAGAAGCATCCAGATCATGTTTGTCTGCTACACAAGTCAATCTATGGACTTAAACAGGCTCCACGAGCCTGGTTTGACAAATTCAGCTCCTACCTGATTCAGTTTGGTTTTGTCTGCAATCAGAAAGATGCTTCTTTATTTGTGTATCAAAAGGGCAGAGATGTGATCTTCCTGTTGCTTTACGTGGACGACATGGTTCTCACAGGCAACAACAAAGAACTCATTCAAACCCTTCTGGTTTCTCTTAAACGGCAGTTTCGAATGAAGGACATGGGTCCTTTGAGTTACTTTCTTGGGATACAGGCTCACTTTACCCCAACAGGATTGTTCCTTAATCAAGAGAAGTATGCTGCAGACCTTCTTCAAGCGGCAGGCATGCTTGATTGCGCACCTATGCCAACTCCATTGCCTATGCAACTTGACCGAGTACCACATCAAGAAGAGGTCTTCTCAAACCCAACATACTTCAGAAGTCTAGCCGGTAAATTACAATACCTGACTCTCACTCGTCCAGACTTACAATTTGCAGTCAACTTGGTATGTCAAAAGATGCATAAACCTGCTGTGTCTGACTTTAATCTTCTGAAGAGGATTTTGAGATACGTTAAAGGAACTCTGGACATGGGTCTCACTCTGGAATCCGACACAGATTCACAGGTTCGAGCATACTGTGATAGCGACTGGGCTGGTTGCCAAGACACAAGAAGATCAACTGGCGGCTTTTGTACCTTTCTTGGCTCCAATCTTATTTCGTGGTCTGCTAAGAAGCAAGACTCTGTAGCTCGATCATCCACCGAAGCTGAGTATAGAACTCTCTCTGACACAGCTGCAGAACTTGCTTGGATCACTGGTATGTTGCAGAGTATCGGTGTACCTCACTCTGCTCCTGTTGAGATCTATTGTGACAATTTGTCAGCTGTACACTTGACTGCAAACCCGGTACTGCATCGAAAGTCGAAGCACTTTGCTACTCACTATCACTTTGCCAGAGAAAAGGTAGCAGATGGGTCTCTCATCGTCAAACATATTCCAGCAACACAGCAAATCGCAGACGTGTTTACCAAGTCTCTTCAACAACGAAGTTTTGATGTTTTAAGGTTCAAACTCGGAGTGGATCATTCTCCCACCTCGAGTTTGCAGGGGAGTATTAACAGGACCAAGACCCAGGCCCAGCAAAACACAAAGTCAAATGAAAAGCCCACTTGTGTTTCCCCTGCAACAAGACAACTTCATTCAACGGTAACAAGAACAAAAAGCAGAAGAGAGGAAGAGGACAAACGGGTCAAACATCCAGCTCACACAGTCCTGCTCTCTAACCGTTTTGATGCGATTAAGGATGAGAATGCCTGAGCTGTCAGAGCCACATCATCACCTTCTGGATTCTTCTCCTCTTTGTATAAATATGAGGCATTACGCCATTGTAAACTTTGAGAAGAAATAAGAGTATTATTCAGATTTACAAAGTTCATCTCTTTCATCTTTACATCCTTATCTGATTAACCTTTATTTTCTCCCAGCTTTTAGTGAATGCATTTTTCGGAAAAAAATGCAGAGAGTTTCCTGTTCGGTTGGAAAATCCCCATGTTGTATCCTCAAATCAGCTATGGGCTGGAGTTGTTAGTACTGGTCCATCAGGGCGTGCTCTTAATTCTTGCTACCACAATCGTGATAAACCGGAGTACAAACAAGAACTTGGGAATGTTATTGGTCAGTGGTTTGTTATTTGGTAGTTCATTTTGGGTGGACTGGGTGTATCATTCTTGATATCTGATGTGTGAGCCGAGATCTAGAATCTGGGGAGCTCGTCTGACAATTGAAGCTGCTATGCTATAGTTATCAATCGGTTATTATTTGTTTTTGCTCTGCAGTGAACTTTTCACGAGTCGTGCCTGATGGACTGCTTGTATTTTTCCCTTCCTATTACCTTATGGACCGCTGCATTACATTTTGGAAAGATGGGGTATGGCCGCTGTAAATTTATCTGAGTATGAAAGTTTGGAACTCTTTCATAAACTACTGTTTCTTCATCATTCAGAGTCACAAGAACTCAATGACAATATGGGAAAGAATCTGCAGTCTGAAGAAACCTGTCATTGAACCTAAAGATTCGTCCCTTTTTCCTGCAGCAATGCAGGTGAGCAATAGATGCTTCCGTTCTTTTATTTCCAAAAGGCAGAGTATGAACTTAATCTAGCCTTGTACTTTTCATGGTAGGACTTTTCGGAAATATTGCAAGACAAATCGATTTCGGGTGCGGTATTTTTTGCCGTTTGTCGTGGAAAAGTATGTTTTCTTCAACCTGTATGAAAATGTACTTCTCTTTCATAACTGATTTCCTGAGTATCCATATTGTCTTTATGAGGATGCTGAGACAAGAAATAGGAGGTTAGTTTCTCCCCTGTAGCGTCTTTTCAGTAGGGCTGGTTTCTGTTGTGTTGTCAGGTAAGTGAAGGGCTGGATTTCGCTGACAGCGCTGGCAGAGCTGTTGTCATTACTGGGTTACCTTATGCCAGGGTGACTGATCCAAAGGTTTGCTTACTCTATCCTTCACTGTTTTGTTCAGGAAATATATTTAGGCTCTAGCTAAATTGGTAGCAAAATCCAGCGAACGGCTTGCTGTGTATAAGAGCTTCTTTCTCATAGTTTTAGTCTTAACTTTTATTCAGATTGCCACTGAGAGGTCATTTATTTGTATGATCCTTTCTTTCTACATGTTTTTCACCTGCTGCACACAGCTTTTATTTTTTTGCTGCTACTTGCTCTGGCGTTGATAACCCTTTTGTAAAACAGGTTAAACTGAAAAGAGCGTTTCTGGATGAACAATCACGACTTGCAAATGTCAAGGTAAGTCCAACATTTACTCAGTTTTCGACTCAGCAAGGTAATGATGTCTCTTCTCTTACATTTTTTTTTTAGTTTCCAAGATCAACTCCTCTATCTGGAAGCATGTGGTACAGTCAAGAAGCTGCACGGGCTGTGAATCAGGCAATTGGACGTGTAATCCGCCATCGCCATGATTATGGAGCTGTCATTTTCTGTGATGAGAGGTTTTGCTCATGCTATCCATGGTTTCTTTTTTTCTGTCTTCCTGCGAGAGTGTTCTTCAGATAGACTTGAAACAGTGCTCGATCATTGGTAAAGATATGTTCATTCCCAGTTTTGTTCTGATTATTTTGTACATTGGCTATTGTTGACAGATTTGAAGAAACGTCCCAGAAGTCCAAGATATCCGGTTGGATACGACCATATGTCAAGGTATTTGTTTCTGCTCCGTCTATCGTCTGTGTTTTATGGAGTGTAAGTTTTCTGGTTACACCGGTTTTGCAGTGCTACTCTGGATATGAAGAGGTCATTTCTGACCTTGCTCGGTTTTTCCTGACTGAGAAATCAAATATTCCTGCAAGGATTGTGACAGAAGAAGAAGAAAACGATATAGGTATTGCATCTTGCAGCCAAACGGTTACTTTCATTGGGCATTTTTAATATCTTATGGGTTGTGTTTGATCATCCGGGAATGATACAAATGCTTATCTTATCTCCACAAAGAGCACCGTGATATAGTTTCCTATTTTCAAGTATGTGTTTAATATCGAATGTAAGCCACATATTTTCCGTTACAGTTTCAGCATTATTACCAAATGAGTCAACCACGAATATTCCTGCGCCAACCTGTGGTCAGTGATTCATTTTCTTTCATTCTCGTGGCATTAAAAGATATTTTCCTTCTGCACATGGTCAAACTGGGAATAGAACTTCAACACTCTACGTTGCAAATTCGCTTAGGGTATTTGATCCTTTGCAGGTAATAGCTATGTGAAGGACGTTGGGGTTGTACGAAATGAGTTGCGTAGTCGGGCTGCACCCTCGGAGTCTAATGGAAATTTTGTTAAATGGAAAGGCCTGACCATCCTACAACGTAAGAGCAAGATGCCTCGCATTGTAAAGGGAGAGGTTATGCAGGCTTGTTCTTCAAGGAAGACTAGATTAGTGGAACTAAGTGACGAGGAGACTCAGGTAGAGAAGAGATGTGAAGTAGAATGCGACAGCTGTAGGAAGGAGATTCCTGAAACAGGAAGGTTAACATCGAGCAACTGTTACAACACAATGGGGCATGTAAAAAAACGAAAGGTTCAAGAGAGTCAGCGAAGTGGGTCGTCCTCACTGTCGAAAGAAGAATGGGGTGATAACAAGCAAGCAAGTGCATCTGCATTTTTGAGTCAAGTTAGATCACACTACATTCATCTTTTCATGTTTTGTCTGTGGGATATTTGGAAGTAGTCATGCAACCGGTGATCTTTTTAACTTTTAACTCTAGGTCAAAGAAAAGCTCAACGGAGAAGACTATAACAAGTTCGTTGGATACGTGCAAGGATTGAAGAAGAAAAAGCTTAAATTAGTAAACGTGATGGAGTCCATTGTGCAAATGTTCAGTGGGACAGAGAGAGATCATCTTCTCATGGGGTAATTAAACTAATAATAAATAATAATGTCTTCTACTTGCCTCCTCTAATATGTAGGTATCTCTCTGTCTTGTTTTGAAAACAGATTCAAGGACTTTGTGCCAGTAAAATATCGTCCTGCATATGAACAGTGCATCAAAATGAGAAAGAGAGAAGCTTGATCATTCATCCATTCAATCTTTGCTAAAATTTTACCCCCTTTTAACTGTAAAGTCGGATGTGAAGAAAGGATGTAATAATTATTTTGTTTTGTTCAGTTGATGGAACGTTTTGAATTACAAAAAAGAAACAACAGTAGAACAAAAAAAAAAAGAGGAATTGCATGTGCATGAGTTAGTTGCGGAAGGCGTCTCTGGAGGCCATCCTCTTCCTAAGCCTCTCTCTGGCGGCGCGAGTACTGAGCGACCTGACGAGGCCATGCCTGGTGATCCTCTTCTCTTTGTCACGGAGAGAGATGATGAGATCCGCGAATGCGCTGAGTATGAACCTGTGTGATTTCTTGTTGTTGAGATCGAGATAGGAGAAGAGAAGCTCTTCCATCAAGTCCCAGTCCACCTCGCTTTCTTCCGGTGTCCCTCCTAACTTGGACGACATCATCTCCACCATCGACCTCCTGAAATCCTCCTGAGGCTCTGCAGTGTATCTCAGCACCGCGATGCAGTTCTCAGGGAGCACCAAGGTGGATGAGTTGGACCTCGACGACTGTCCCTCCTCCGACGATCCAGGCGGTGGTGATAGTCTCTCTGTTCTGCGCGGCAGAGCATCTGGGAGTTTTGGGGAGTCAAGTCCCCCCCATGTCCTCTCGAATCTGTGGCGGTAGTCTTCTTCTTCTTCTTCGTCATCTGAGGAGGACTGTTCCCTTTTCTCCTTCTTTTTGTCATCATCATCACTGATGCAGAGGGATTTGAAGTTTTCCTCAAGGAAACGTTCTATGTCCGACAAGGTGGCGGCGTGACCGGGACCGGAATCCTGGTAAACAACGTGGTGGTCGTTGAATCTGGTCTTGCTGGAGCGTCGTCTGTGTTTGATGGAGAAGGAAAGCTTCTTGGGAGGCTTACAGCCAGCAAGCACCCACTTCTTGGATGATGAGAATGATTTCGACGACGACACTTGCAGCTTCCCTGTCTCTTTTTTTATCTTTGACATGTAATCATGCAACGATTTCTGCAGCGGGTTTGGCATTTTCTTTTCCTCCTTCTAAACAAATGTTTTCTTTCTGAGTTACAAATAAAAAATTACTAGATGATAGATGGATGATGACCAATCGATGATAAAAGATTATATTCTCTCTGAGATTTCTTACCACTTCTGAAGATTTGATCAAAAGGATGACCTCCACAGATATAATATTAGGGGACTCCTCTCTAATCTGAAACTGTTCAACGCTACTTTACGTTGAGAAGGTAATGTCATTAATGGTAAATTTATTCTTCTTCTTTGATTTGTTGTTCATATCATGTTCCCATAAGTTTCCAGATTCTGCATTCAATTCATAGTTGAATAGTAATTACTTTCTGTTGAAAGTGAACTTTGACAAACACAAATAAAAAATAAAAAAAGCTGTTGCTGATTTGCGTAGCCCAGCGCAGCTTCGGAGGCCCAAGACGCATAAGCCCAGCCCAGGTTCCACTTCGGTTGTAATAACTTTGAACCTCCGCTATAAATATGGACTCGGATACTTTCGTCTCAAGCATACTTTGAACCTCATTATTACTCGTCGCGTAAGTAAATTGATCACTTATAGGTTATCACAAGTGCTGAAGTAAGAAGCAACTAGTTTTTTTTCTCATGTAATGATGTTTCTATCAATTATTTACATTTCACTAAGAAACTGAGAATCTGACTCGAATCAAAACCTTAAAACTTAACTTCTCTTTAAACTCCCTAATCAAATCTCTAAACACAATTAATCTCCTCGAGAACTCTTGATGATCTATCTCTAAACCCAAATTTCTTTCTACATTTATCTTAACGTCCCCAAGAAATCTCTTTAATCAGAATCCTCGAAAGCTATCAGAAAACCTCTTACTAACCTGTTTCCTGAAAACAAACCTTGTGGCCTTTTAACAGCTAAGCAAATCCGTTGAGTATCTCTGTGCCTAAGCATCCAAACAGTGACGAAGTCGCAACACTTTCTGAGCCCATAATCTACCACGAACTTTCTCCACCCTGTCGTCAATTAAAACGACCTCTCGTCATTTTTTGTTGGCAAAGATACTCAACAGAACTTGTTTACAGTTCATGGAGCCATTAACGGCCTTGTGCTCTTCTTAGGTGTAAACAACTGCTCTACAGCTTTGCAGTACTTTGAGACAGCGTAACTATATTAAAATTTTATATTACCTTAACCTGACGGATAAGAATGATTGATGGTAACCAGTAATAACAATATGAATTTTCCAAAAATCGAATCCTGTGTATCTACTGCAAAAACTATTAGAGCCAAGAAGAAATGGCATGGCTGACAAGTTTGAGCTGGTATTAAATGTATGCGAGAGAGAATAAGATCCCAGGTTTGCAATCCCCACACAAATTCTCTTAACCCCTTTCATCAGTTTAATCTCTGACTCCATCAACAACAAATGTATGACAAGTAACTCCCCTCAAAAGACTCTGAGAGAGCGTTTCCACAAGCTCGTTTTTTTTTTCTCACTGGTACAAGATCAGAACGGTAGAGAATAAAAATTACAGTTTTCTGATTACCTTTTAAAAAAAAAAAAACACAAAACCAACGCGAAAAACCGGTTGTGTTTGTACTAATAAAAGGAGTGGGGGTAGTTAGAGCAGAATCGCCCTCTTCTTACGCATCAAATAATACCGACTTTGTAATTAACATCCACCAAACTCAAAAGAATAAAGAGCTCTCTGCAAAAAGACCCTCACATCAACAAATGAAACAATCAATATTTCCACATTGGTACCATGAGTGCAGAGTGCAGACGAGAATACCTTTTCAAGCAGGTCTTGTTAGTTGAACATGGATCTCTAGAGGTTATCTCTCAGCCATTTCAGAGCTCCATTTGCGACCGATCTACAACAACAAAAAAACCATAACTGTGTGCTGAGAACATGTGCTTCAGAGATTCAACAGCACAACAAAAGCTGGAGAATTCACTATATAAT